GAGCAGAGTGTGGACTGTTGCTTCGCTCCGGGTGAAAATGATACAAATACATTTGCATGTGCAGTAAATGAACGGCAAGATGGCCGAGGCATTTAAAATCGCAAGTAACGCTAGGCTGTGTGTATCCGTATTTTCAGTTTTATTATAAGGACTTTCCTGTTAACTGTGTGTTGGTTTGTGGTTAATTAAACGACGCTGACAGTAACTCGGACTATACAGCGACGAGTGATAGGTTAATTAACGAATAATGAATTGGAAAGAATATGGAAGGAAGCGGTGGTAGCCTAATTTAAATTTCTACCCCGCAATTTCATGGATGATTGACAAGTCACCGAGACGAAATTTAAACCCAGGACCTCCTGAATACGAAGCAGGGCCTCACTCGGCCTCGACGTTCAGTGTCTTAACTGTATGAAAGTGAAACTCATGTTCTCTTACTTTCGGATCTAAGTGTGTATCCTTATGAAGGAAATGACGGCACATCTGCAGATGTTCTGTCCATGCCACGGGGTATTTATGACTTGCAGGAAATCCGTCCAATAAAAATCAAACCCCGTGCGAGAAATCTACTTGCTGTTGGCGAGAACATACATAACTGTAGCAATATTCGGATTTGCTTTGTGAGTCTGTTAGCAACACCTGTGTAAAAAAAAATACGCTTCACTATTTAACGACAAAACAAGAGTAGAAATTCTGCGTTGAACAGCGTCAACCAAAGATACATAGTATAAAATATTTCCTTGGGACTTTTCCTTGTATTTGCCATCCAGTCGAGAGGTCAATGAGTCATAGCAATGTTGCATTTTAATATAAATGTCTTCGATCTGGTGAACTCGAGACGGTGGACGAAATTCGCTTTCGGAGATAACGTGATAATTGCTTTATTGTGGTTTTCCTCAGTTTGAGGACAGTACTTTGAAAAACCAGTTTCTTTAGAGTCGAATCCTTTCCAATTCTCCGTATATGACAACCATATTACCATTCCAAGTTAAATACCCTGTGAAATAATACAGAGTCGTTAAATAACATAGGATTAAAGACGCTTCTCGAACTGCACAACCTGAGATGGACCAGTGCAACTGGTTTTCTCTCGACAGGCTCGCGTGTTATGTAAGCACTGCAGTAAGAAGTGGTTCAACCGGACATATGAAATACCGGAGGTTTCATTTCTGTCGCAAATATGCGATCCCTACGTGCGTCTGAGCCTCCGCTCTCTTCAGCTGAGATGCATCGCCCCGACCATTTAACGCAGACTTTGCTACGTTATTTACCGACATTATGCTATAGCCTACAGCATCTGGTAAGGTGAAAAAATGATTATGAATGCTGATTAAGCCTAGGTACAGATATTGAAAGAGATTGTAGTGGCCTATTTTATGTTACTGTGACGGTATTCACCTGGGAATGCTGAGGGAATTAATGAATCTTTGATAAGGAAGGCAGTATGTTCTTCCAAAACGCTGGTAGCTACCTACAAGTCTTATAACCCATTAGACGAACATCTTTCGGTATGCTAACCTTTGTGAGAGCCTCAAATCTATTCTCGGAAACATTTAATCAAAAAAATGCATAGCAAAGGAGTCACGACACAGGCATGGAGATCTCATAGAGTTCTGGCAGTTACTCACCACTCAGTCAAGAAATTTATGTTTTCTACATCCTGCGAGCTCAATCAATACAGCGACAAGGCTACTGGTTGGACGGCCGTTTTCTGACTTACAGCAAGTAGGATTTTCCTCTTCGCCATTACGTCTAGACCGGTTCTGGGGCCTTCCTACCCTCTTATCCAATGGGTACCGGATTCCTTCCTCGGGTATAGAGGCTGGGACGTGAGACTATCCACTCATCTCCATCCGGCGCCGTGGTCAAAATGCGTATATTTGTGCGAAGTGGTGTTTAGGTAAGAAGCCTGTCCTCAGATATGTCAACCTAGTTCACGTATGTGCTCCCACATTTTGCTCTCCCATCTAGCGTCATCCGTTTAGATGTTCCAACCAAAATTCACTCCTCATTTCCCTGATGTGTGTGACATGGCCTTCCAATGCCACCCGCCATAATTTGATCACCATAACAGTATAAGGTAAGGAATAAAAATTGTGAGGTTGGCCATTATACACTTATCCTACAATTCAGCGGCATTCACCAGTTATGTCCAGTCGCGGAAATAAGAGGCCAGCGTTTTTACATTGTCAGCTGCTGAGAGGAGCTGACCGGAAGAAAATAATCTGTATGCCAATGGCCGATGTCTCTTGAGTACGGGCGCTGCATATCAAAGTCGACTCTCCTCATGAGCAACAAATATGAATCGAATTCGAATGTCACATTTGAGTTGCTGGTGTGGAATAAAATTGTGATTTAGTTATATTCTGCAAGGAGGAAGAGATTTAAAGGTGTAGAGAATGGAAGTTTATGAAGTTCCGAAGAAGATATTTTACGAAACCGAGAGAAATGAACAGTGAAAAATCAAGACTAGGTTAGGTTGGAAGAGCAATCAGTATTACCACGCGGCGTAGAAGAATAACAACATAACGAGAATTACAAGCAGAAGACGTAGAAGAACAAAGAAAAATACGATAATGGGAGACGATGACGTAGTAGAAGTAGACAAGTGAAAAGAAATAGATGGACAAAAGGCAACAGACACATTGTCCCTTGTCTAAGGTATATTTTATATACAAGAATTTCGGGAGTTGTTTCTCCTGCCATTTTCAGATGATTGGTTGTAATTATACTAACATTATTCTTAGTAACAACGGTCGGGATCGAACCCAGGACCTCTCAAATACGCAAATTACGCTAACTACTAAACCATCGGGACGGCCACAAAGTATCAGTTTAATGACAACCAGTCATTTGAAGATGGTAGCACAGCCAACTCCTAGAACGTTGTGTGCATCAAATAAGCCTCAGACAATTGACAATGTCCGACAGCGTTTATATAGGAATAAAACTATCAAAACCCATCTGCAAAAGAAATGGAAACAGACTGGCCGAAAATATGCTACTGCTTTGTTACGAGTCGTATGAAATTCCGTAAGTGACTCGCTCCAAGGTTCCAAATCACAAAGTTCAGCAGCCAAAACTGGAGTTAACAGCCCAAAAGTCAATCGTTCATTACAGAAGAGAAACAGTTGAGAATCTCAAACCCCAGCCAAGAGCGTAAAGCAAATAACAGTAGACGTCACATTTTGTTGAAAAAATTTGTTGCGTTGTGGTGTCAACGAACAGAAAGCAAACGAGCAACAAAGAATGTCAGTACAATTTCAATATAAGGCAAAGTCATTCCGATTTAGATTATAAACATTTTAAACCTTTACATATCTAATTTTATTCGTGGATAACCTCAATTCAATCGCATGAAAGTAGGGTCTATTAATAGGCATATTATTTAGTCTTCCCTTCATCCATGTAACATGTCATTCCGCTGTTTATTACTGCGATGAAATGTGTATGGCGTTTCTCACAATTTGAAGAACCTCCAGTTCCGGAAGAAAAAGATTCCGTCGCTGTAAAAAAATCACGACGTCCAATACCGTGTCTTCCGTTCAAATTCCAAATCATAATACAAATTCTACCAGCAGAAGCATATATTGTAAAACATTGGCATCTATAAAAACAACCTTTGTATTTGTCACCAGTCTTTATTCACGACTATATTCGTGATCGACACCGAATGTGCCTTTTAGCAGTTGCTTTGTATCTCTGAAAATACATCAACTTGGCCAGCGTCACCAAATTTTAAAACTGAACTAGAACAGTGGTAACAATTTCGGTTCTCTTTTGCACGAGAGTTAATGTAAAATCAAATAATAAAAATATTTAATTTTATATGTGTTGTTATTTTTCAATTAACAAAAACATTAGTAAACCTACTAACACAAAGGAAAGAAAAAACCCAGTAGGCCCTTTCAAACAACACAAGATATCCCCGGACAGAGTACCAAAAGAAAAGGACAGGCCTGTAATACAAATGCAGGAATTAAAAACAGAATACCAGAATAAGAGCTGGAACACTGTGGCGAAAATATTCTGGACACCGGAAGAAAATACGAAGACACCAATTGCACTTGTATGGTTCACGAACAGGCGATTAAGCCTAATATTGCACAGTTCACTATGATAATGATCAATATTAGAGATTGCACTCAGGTAGAAGAGAGTAAATTAGAAGCTTGGCATTACATTGTTTCCAATGAATTATCAACATCTGAGGAACTGTAAATATTAGTATTCTGTTTCCTGCGCGTACGCCATGGAAAATCAAACCTAAATCCACTGCACGTAAGAACTATGATATAATTATGGTACAGACCTATTGATTGTCCTGTGTCACATTAGCCTCCAACTTCAGAGTCCCGACTTCAACTAGAGTAAAGTTGCGCTGTCACATGATTTATGCATTCCGATTCACTCTTTCACTCTTTCACTGGCACTAATGTAACATATCCTAAATAACCGTTCTAACAGATACAGCATAGTCTAAAATTGTCAGTCGATGTAAATGCAGTTTGGATTTCACTAGTATGACTGTTACAATAAACTGGATAATAAACAAACCAACCATGATTATCGATCGAGGTTCGCTCTCCGATATTCAATCGACGCACTGCGATCGTAAATTGTCGAAGAAGTAATGAGCTGCGGAAAGTGTAGCCTATAGAACCGGAAATGCTACAACAGGAAGATGTTCTACCATTTCCGCGTATGGGACATGAAGTTTCACGTACTGTATGTAATATAGAATCATGTTTGCGTGTTATCGAGTCTTTTAATCTTGGCGCATCTGCCATAACAAATGTTTACATTTTAGAGGAATGATGCAAAAAGTACTTTCTCAATTGTTATTTTAGACGTACCTACTGCCCACATGACGAAAAAAACTTTCCAAGTAGCCGCAATAGGCTGGTATTATGTTTATGATCCACGGAGAAATATTGAGGGGCGAGGGGAGAGAGACAAGCACAGAGTCGTGAAAGTGGTACCTATACCATGTTGGTATATAAAGCGCCCTCCATCCTTCCAACATTCATTCAGTCCTTTTTCTGGGATCCAGTACCTACTCTCATTTTACCATGAAGATCACAGTAAGTAACAAAATTAGGCGCTAAAATCTAGAACATTCAATACACCATCCACTCTTCATTACGACAAAAGTGGACCAAAGGATAATGTATCCGAAATGTTAAAAATGTGTTTCTTGGTGGGATTTCACGGCGGAGAGTCTGTAGATGGCTGTCTTCTGGGTTGTAGCGCCGTGTAGTCTGGTAGAAGTTTAACGTAATTTCAGAGGCGCTTGCTGCCACTATCATCAGGGCAATAAGTTCTAACAATAGAGGCAACAAGCACACCTGGAACATCAATAAACTTCTACCAGACTACACGGCGCTACAACCCAGAAGACATCAATCTTCAACTTTTTTATTTTTTCTTTATTTGGTATATACCACTAGCTGCAAGTCTCCTTGTATGCTACTCAAAATATACCTCGCCAAGATTTGTTTGATGTTGAGAATACTTGTGGAAAAAAAAAACACTCCCGACTCTCTCAACAATTACAGCCAACAAATCACGTAAAAAAAGTATGTTTGTTAATGGCTTTACGCATTACATTAACAAGGCAATTTTATGCCTAAGAAATAATTACGGTTACCCATCTTTGAAATTCTTAACAATGTTACGGAATTTAAAACTACAGATAACTGATTGAATAGTTGATTAAAGGTCGATTCAATTGCCATGATGACATGTGACTGATTTCGACTGATGGAGTTTTAAACAACATTTATAAAATCAAGTATTGACACTTGGTCACGTTTCAGAAGAGATACTCATCATTGGGTTACGAACTGGTTATGTGAAATACACGCAAAATAACGAAAGCGTTGCGAATTTCTCTCCCCCGCAGAACAACTTCCATTTTTAATTATGACACGAGACTAGAGGTAAAATGTGTTTTTATTTTGAAATAACGGAATCTTATTTCGCTTAAATGATGTCATGTGTGAAACTAGTTCTAGGAGATATGTATGTAGAAATATTCTGGATAGGCATATAATTAATAGACGCTTCGTTGCATCTAAACATTGCACAAATACGTCTACAGTACGTACTGTTATGATACGCACTGGTTATTCACTTGTTTCTGTCAGCAATTATTTTACACAGGGCATGTACGTTACCTGGAGACCGATTTTAACCTCATATATTATTAGAATGGTTTCTTTTCTATTTCACATGCATCATTGATGTTCATTTATTGTAGATATAACTCTACTTTTGCAAAGCCAAATGTATTACAGACATCACATGACTGGCTCTGGGTCCAGTGGGTACCGGGGTTCTCTCCTCGGGGGTAAACGGGACGAGGCGTGAAGCTAACTACTAAATCCATGTGGTTGCGAGGTTAAGAATGCTTGGAGCTATCTCTACTCCCCCATACGTTTGAATAGCGTGACTTGGGCAGTTTTAATAAAACTGGTAACACTTGATTTGAGCTTCATGTATAGTACGATGCTGGTAAGAAGTCTAAGCACAGCAACATGATAGCGTATACAGGAGTGGAGGTCGAAACTCCGCACGTTCTGTCAGTACCAAAGTTAGCTCTATCCCCGGTGTAAGAAATCTTTGCACCCACTGGTCAGGAGCCTGGAAACAGTACATTTCTGATCGTGACTCAGTGTCAATGACCGAAACAGAATTTATTAACTAATTATTAGCTTCACAATAAAATAAATTAACAAGGGCCACAGTTGTGCTGAAAGTTATGTCAGCTGTGTTAGTGAGAAATTTCACTAGTTTCCTCTAACACATGCAAGGGGCATGGCGGAGAAATTACGGTTGAAAAGTTTCGTCACAATGAATTAACATGTTAATTGAATGAACCAAAAGAGGAAGTTCCAGCTATATGGCATTGCATTCCACTTTCTTCGCCACGAGGTAACCCGTGTGACTCACTGAGCACATGCACCTCACAGCGGACGAGTCAGAAAGTTCGCGAGGAAATCTAATGACGCCGGCTGAATTTATTTTGCGTTTTGTACGAAATGCATATAGCAAATTCATGATGGAGTCTAAATCACTTCGAGTGTCCGAATTAAATGTTTTGTGAGAGTTCCCAGAGGAATTCAATTCTGACCCATGTCGGTCGGCCCTGCATCACAGACCCCACTCAAATAAAAATTTATCAAATGCAAAAGTAAGTTGGGGGAATGCACGCTTAGTGAAACACTTCTGGCCGGTTCGCCAGAATTTGACCTTTGCCAACGGCGCCAGTGACGTCAGAGTTGTCTGGGGACGACTTTTGCGTAGGCGCAGTGTCTGGCTGGTAACGTCATCACGGGACTTCCCATGCGGCTAAATGGGTATTGCCCAGGTTGCCACGGTAACCAAATTGTCCGACTCAAATCTGATCTGAAATGTGGCTACGAGTTGTAAAACTCACCAACATCAAACTTTATGAAACTCCGTTCTGTGACAGGCTACCACAGCTGGAACACATGGACAGACAGACCAAAAACCCACTAACAGGGCCATTCATTTCGAGCGACAGCCGTGTTGTCATTTTGCGTTCTACGAAAATAACTTTTGCAAAATTCGCATATATTGAAAAGATCTGTTACCAACATAATTTCAGGACCCTATATAAAGTGGATATAAGCCTGTATTTTCTTATAAAATACGGGAAACGAGCTAAAATTGCGGTGATGTAAAAATGTCACCGTGCAGTATAAATGTGTACACTGTTTTCTTTTGTTGCAGATTGTGGTCTTATTTCTGGCGTTAGCCATTCTGGCAACGGCTGAAAACAATCAACCGGGACACAAAGAGGCAGAAAAGAAAGAAGCGGCAATAAAACAAACGGAAGAAAAAAAGAACGACCAGCAAAAAACAGAAGAATCCAAACAAACCGAGCAAAAGCAAGAAGTGGAACAGGGCGACAGGAAGCAAGAGAAGAGAGGCCTTATTCACGACTTCGGGTACGGTGTAGGCTTTGGCCACGGGCTGGACAGTGGCATTTTCGGTGGCTACGATCATACTCTACACCAGGAACACGTCAAGACAATCACTCTGACCGAAAAAGTACCAGTGCCTCAGCCTTACCCAGTGCACGTACCAGTGGAAAAACATGTTCCGTACCCAGTAGAAAAGCCAGTTCCATATCCTGTCAAAGTCCCTGTTGATCGTCCCTACCCAGTCCCCGTAACCGTCCATAAACCCGTACCTTACACAGTACACAAACCCGTGCCGTACGCTGTCAAGGTCCCCGTCGACAAGCCATATCCAGTTCACGTAACAGTAGAGAAGAAAGTTCCATACCCAGTCGAAGTAAAAGTCCCTGTACCACAGCCCTACACTGTTCACGTACCAAAACCTTATACCGTAATTGTCGAAAAGAAAGTTCCAGCACCCTATCCAGTCCATGTCAAGGTCCCTGTTCCTCAGCCCTACCCCGTCCACGTCAAAGTCCCAGTAACTGTACACGTAGATCGTCCTGTCCCTGTGGAAGTTAAAGTTCCAGTCGACAGGCCAATCCCAGTACCAGTAGAGAAGCCGTACCCAGTCCCTGTAGAAAAGAAAGTACCGTATCCGGTTGAGAAGCCAGTACCTTATCCCGTGAAGGTCCCTTATGACAGGCCTATTCCTGTGCATGTAGTGAAACCATACCCCGTCCATGTAGAGAAGAAAGTACCATATCCCGTAGAGAAGATTGTTCCTTATCCTGTAGAGAAGCAAGTACCTTACCCTGTAAAGGTCCCATACGACAGGCCTGTCCCAGTGCATGTAGACAAACCATACCCCGTCCCTGTAGAGAAGGAAATACCATATCCTGTAGAGAGACCTGTTCCATATCCAGTTAAAGTCCCTGTGGAGAAGGAAGTGCCGTATCCTGTAGAAAAGCCTGTGCCCTATCCAGTTAAAGTCCCTGTGGCAATACCAGTCCATCACGAACATGGAGGAATTGAATATGGAGGACTGGAACACGGAGGATTTGAGCAAGGAGGTTTTGGGCAAGGAGGTTTCGGGCATGGAGGACTTGAGCATGGAGGATTCGGAGAGGGCTTCGGACATCACAAATAAAACAAACGCTATCTTCAAGTTCAACCCGAAAATAAGCACTAAATTATCACACAGCAATTTAACCCTTTCTGTGCTGAATATCTGGCTAAGAAGTATTTTATTTACGTATTAAAATAGCAACTTATAATTTGCATTGTCTGAACAATGAAAACAGACAGCCTCAACCGCCGTTAGAATTTGTATAGGCTGGGAAGTTTGATTTAAAGTATGGTTTAAGGCGTTCGGAACAAGGAAAGGGTTGCAAATATGTAATTACGGGTATACCAAACAAAAAATTGCATAAATGTGCTGTGATAATTTGGACTTGCTCAAACACGTGACCAAAGACTATCAAGAAAGTTTAATAATTTTCATTATCTTTCAAAACATTCGCATTATTCACACCAAAATACACTGTCGCGATTTTCTTCAAACATCTGTGTACCCATAAATATATTTAATATCTTTTATAATTGCAAGGAAAACCGGGAAAGGGAATTGGCTACTAAACAGAATAAAAACAGTGGAGTAACGTCAACTTGTTTCTAGCATTATATAATCAAAGTCTCCTTGCAGTGTGCATGGTTGATGTTGATATCAAATATTTCCTGCATTACCCAAGTTCCCCCCTGTGTTTACGACACTTAATGTTGTTAAGTTTATGTAAACGAGTTTTACGACTGAATAAATCACTGTATTACTATGGGAATTCATTTCTTCCACAAAAGCGACCCACTATTACCAAACCTGTCAATCTGGAAGCAAGAGCAACTAACTATACGAGGCCACCTGTACTTTCTTTAAAAGCTTTGATTTTAATCGGCTGCTGTCAACATATACCAAATGCAAAACTACATTTCCTCCCAGATGAGTAGTTTTACTGCAATGGCCTGCTTTCATTAATTAGCTAATCGAATTTCCTCTACAACAAACGCCATGATCTGGTATCCAGTCTCGTTAGTAAAGGCGGGATGCCCCATGTGAAGGAGAGGTTGAAAAGGCTTCACATTTAACATATCATCCTTAACTCCCCTCTCGTTAATGTGAACAAATTTTGGCCATATATAATATTATGTAACATATTTACAGTCTTAAAGTGCCTCCTCTAATTCAGAATTCCAAAAGCTCAAAATCACAAATATAACACGAAATTTTCCTGCTGGTGGAATATCTATATCAAGCAGTGCTTCGAGAGCTGTATTATGGAAATGCGAAAATGTCGAAGATCGAAGGGGACAGTTGATTCTCAGTTTCATGAACGAATGTTGGCGAGTTCAAAGCTGTAAGTAGATCACACTGAACTTACAGTCGTCTTATTTTCGTTATGTTACAAAAGTAGGTTAAATACGTTCGTTCAGGAAGTAATTTTCAGCA